CGCGGCCCGGGACTCCCAAGCGGCAACGGCGGGGCCGGGGCTGCTCCTGGCCTCGCCGTGGCTGGCTGACCTTGGCAAATTCACTTCCTCCCCGCCTGCCTTAGTTTCCCCATCTGTGTCACTCCGCTCCACCCTCCTTTGTAAAACAAGGCAAGGTCCACTGATGCAGGGCAGCAGATAAGAGGGAGGGAGTTATGTCATTAGTTGCATGGGTAAATTGGAAGTAAATACAAAATCTCAAAGGTTGGCGGGGAAGCGGGCAGAGACAGGCAGGCGGCAGCAGCGCTGGAGCCCTCTCCCAAGCTCTGTCCGCATGGGGAGCCACTAATCCCCCCATTTTCCATGGAAACGGGGTGCTGGGCTGAGCACACCAAAGGGCTGTGTCCTGGGAAGCAGCATCTCCAAGAAGATGTGTGACAGCAGGGCATGAGGGGCAGAGCAGGATGAGTGAAGACATCTGGATATGGCCCCCAGGAGAGCGAAGGCAGGATGCTGCCCGCAGCCCCCGCGTCTGCTGCAGACCGCACACGGGAAAGTAAGAAAGGGGGTTGGGGGAGTTTGGGGAAGAGATGCAACAGTGGTTTAAGGGCTGGAGAAAATGTCTGGCACGAACACACCCGGCTCAATCTGCTCAGTCTAATGGAGACAGAGAGAGGCAGCTCGCTGCAATGTCCATGTATCCGAGAAAGCGGGTGGGCCTGGCGTCTCTGAAATCACACAGGGAAAGGCAATGGGAACCAGCTGCTCCAGAGGGAAACAGCCCAGCTCTGCAGCACAGCAGGGGATCAGCGGGGAACAATACCTGGGGAAAAGGGCAGCTTTTCATCACTGGTGTCTCCTGTCCGCTCTGGACAGCCTTTCAAGACAAGCACTTGGCTGGAGCGGGATAAGGCTCAACCAAGGGGCGAGCTTGGGACACCAAGGCTGAGACATGCTGAGCCCTTTGGCTTTAACGCTGGGAACGCAGTCAGACGTCCGTGCTGGTACCTCAGCACCCTGCCTGGCCCTGGCTCGGCTGCACACCAGGGCTGAGCTACCTGCGTAGGGACAGAGACATCCAGGTCCCCTCCCCGTCCCCCACGCCTACCAAGGCTGGAATGAGACAGGACTCAGCAGCCACACAGAGGAGGGAGCCGCGAGTGCCCACGGCCATGGAAAGCAACAGCAGGAACAAGGGAGGTGGGAGGAAAACGGGTCCTGCGCTGCCCTGCCAAGCTCCATCCTCCTTGCAAGCTCAGGCAGCCAAGCCCCAGCTCAGATCCCAGGCCTGCCCCACCATCCAGCTGAGCTCTTGGACTCAAACCACGGCACGAGCACAAAGCCCCATCTGGACCCCTCCTGCCTGTCTCCTTGCCGGCATGCATACACGTCGGCTCCTGCCGCCTGATCCCACTCCCACCCCCCAACCTTTGCTGGTCCCACAAATCCTACGTGCAAGTGGCTCCACAAAAACATGAACAATGGGTGGGAGAAGGAGCATTTTGTGGCTCCCGCAGGGCCTGGGTAAACAGAAACAGCAAAGCAAGGAGAGACCGTGGCCTGGCTGAGACACGGGAGCATCCATTATTAAAGAGCCATATCCACGCCTGACATTATTAAATGCCGCCTTCTGCTCCGAGGTGCTGCCGCATGCTCTGAGCCAGAGATCAATAGCAGGAACCCGGCCAGCGGAGAGGCCACAGCTCCGTAGGGGCAGGTGGGAGCACGGAGGAGAGGGACCCCTCTGCATGCCTGCCACGGCCCCTCGCAGGATGCCTCTCTTGTGGCTGCAGAGGAGCTGGATCTTGGGGGTCTCTCTGCTGAGTGGGGAGCAGCGGCAGGGCTGGAGAGGGACTCCAGGGTCCTGCTGGGTCATGGCCATCCAGGTGTGCTGCACATGGGAGCGTGGTCCCACGCAGGGGACACAGCACAGCATGGCCCAGGACCTCAGTGACTCTGGTGGGAGGTGGTGGGGGTCCTGCCCAGCCCAAAGGTGGTCTTATGGGCAGTCCTTGCCCAACGGCTTGTGGCCCCTTAAGTGATGCCCAGGATGAAAACAACATGTGCACACACCTCCCGTTGAATGCTGTGGCAGCGGGGCAGGGCACAGCCCCTTGGCATGGCAAGGTACTGTCACCATGCACCTCTGCCACACTGTTGGGACCCTGAGCGCCCCCACCAGCACCCCTAACCAGGGTGCGGGCCACACACGGGTGCCCCCGCTCTGGCAGTCCCAGAGAGGATGGAGGACAAAGGCAGCTCCAGGCTCCAAGCTGGGGACCTTCCCCCGCGCTGCTCTGCAGCATCACAGCCCTCTCCCGGAGCCGGTGACCTTCGGGAGGCTCCCGTGGGGTGCTCCGCACATCTACCTGCCCAGCACAGGCTGCAGCAGGCCCAGCAAGGCTGGAAATCACCTCGGACCGGCTGTGAACACCGCCTGCATCCCCTGCCACAGGCACACCCTGGGGCTGGGAGTGGCGGGGGG